GTAGAAACATAAAATGGTAATGTATATGGTAATGTGAATTCCATTTTCAAGGAACATCATGAAAAATGTGGGAAATCAAATGCTAGTGTAGGACATCTCCCTGACTTGAATTTTGCTGACCAAGCAACATCAGTAACCTAAAATGTTCTTGAGAAAACAGCATGTAAAAAAACAAAACAAACAAACAAACAAAACTTCTGTGTAATCGAAATAAAATTCCAAAGCTGATGCTTTACTTGGAGTCTAGATACTATTAACTTGCATGAATATCTGATTACAGGGCTCCCAATTTATAGCAAAGGAAAAACATAATGGTAGCATGGGTCAGAAGTGGATGGCTACAGCCTGACACAATGAGAGTTAGGAGAAACTGAAGCATCAACAAAAATTTAGTTATTTCAAAGCAGAGTAGCTTTCAGTTTTCAAAGTAGGGAAAACCCCTTTTTTCTCACTGTTTTTAGGGGTACCACAATATTATAGAAGTACAGCAACTTTTTTTCATCATGGTGAGCCTGAGTTTTTGAAAAGTTTAACTTATTTTAAATATATTCTGTTTAAGAGATCAGGGAAATATTTAACAGTTATAGAAAAAAATCCTTCTAAGTGGTTAAAATTAAACAAGCTTTGGCGCTTTTAACAGACAAATTACCATTATCCATAATTTTTTGGTAGATTGCTTCATTCACAGAAGATGTTAGATAACAAGTGTTTCATTATTAATGTACAAATAGGTCATTCTATTAAGATATTTCCTCAAAATTATTTTTTACTAAATTAAAAGCTTAGGTGTGATGTAAAATCTAATATAGATATTGAAATCTAATATAGAAAACTATATCAGCGTTTCCAAACTATATTCATATCAACAAATGCTAACAAGCTGGGAAGGAGGGGCAGAACCAAGGGGCCTATTGAGTCTATCTCCAAAATTCACCTCGAATGTGGTCACATCTCTTTCTACTGCCACCATCCTTGTCCATGTCACCATCAGCTCTCCCATCTGCATTTCTATACTACAGTTCTGTCTCCACCTTGCCTTGGCTGCCTCCAATCCCTTCTCAATACCATCAGATCAAGTCACTAGTCTGTGATTGTGCTTTCCATTTCATTGAAAATGAAACGCAGAGTGCCTGCCCTGGCTTTCAAGGCCCTGCACAGTTGTTCCTTTCTACTTCTCCAATCCCATTTCACGAAACTCCCCTTGCTCACTCTGCTCTAGGTCCCTTGGCCTTCCTAGGTATTGGCTTTTGCACAGGCAGTTCCCTCTGCCTCTTTATATCCTTGGCAGAGCTGGGTCCTTATTCTTCAGGTCTGTTTGAATATTTTCTCCTCCAAGAGGCCTTTCTTGATTACCCTGCCTAATTCTGTTTCTCTGTTTCTCCTCAACATTATCCTCTGTCAGAGTAGTGTGTTAGATTTCTTTGTAGTTTGTATAATATGTTTTATTTATTTCCTGTTTCTCATGAAGGCAAAGACCAGTTTGTTTTATTGACTACTGACAATGGAGAATACCTGGCACATAGTAGGTGCCTAATAAATATTTTTTTGATTTAATGAATAAATGATTTGTAGCCTATAAACAAATCAAGGGCTAAATAAATGGAACCTGTGGAAAGTGTTCATGTTAATAAAACATGCCTACATGCTTAAGAATAATTTGGGTGATTCATGTCTATAGAATTTTGGAATGAAAAGTTCATAGAGTTTCATATCTAACTTGTATCATGATATCATAAATTGCATTGATTTCATTCTCCAAACATGGACTGTCAGAATCCAAGTAGGGGGTTGGAGATATTTGGCTTGATTTAGTCAAGGGTTTCTTCAGAGGAGAATAAAGGGAGTGTGGGAAGGATATGGAGCAGGGAATAATTAATTCTGGTTTCCCATTTACCCCCAAGCATAATCAAGAGATTACACTGGTTATTAATTTTCTCTACGAAATGTGAAGAGTTTAGCATATACATTGCATTCTTCAATGCTTCAATAAATATGAGTTTGATTGAATTTATGTTGGAAAGTTGGAAATGAGAAACATTTCTCTGTGTTCAGGCTTCTAGATTTACTCCTTGGCATCTAATTAATGGTAATTCTAATACAGATTACAGCAAAAGAGAAGTCAGTGTCTTACAACATCGGTAACTGGTGCATGATTCCTGAAGCCAGAGACCATGACTTAATTATTTTTCTATTTCTACGATGGGCCTAAGAGTGGGGGGAATGCATATTAAGGACACACTATTTCTTGAATGAATACAAATGTTTCACACCACTTAGAGGACCTACTTTGTATTGCTTTTGTATACGGAATAGGTTGAGAAGTGGCTATTATTATATAGGCTGCTAATGTAAATACACAAAAGTGAAAAATACCAACATAAGTCTCTTTACCCTATACTTAGGTAGAAACATAATGATTCAGGCAACAATTTTATTATAAAAGGAATGTACAGTAGGTGTTATGTAAAATAAAAAAAGAAAGAAACCTTTAGGTGGCGGCCAAGAGCTGTGATTATGAATTCCTTAGTCTGCTTTTATCAGAATTTATGATCTTGTTTGACAGTGGTCATGTTAAACGGCGTATTTAAGCCACAGTGTTTCAGAACAAAGCAAATACAAGAAACAGAATTAGGCCCAGAAAGAAATGAATTTGATTGTTAATAGCATCAAACAACCAATCAAGTCTTAATGTTGATTAAATAATAGGTATTCTGATTATGAATATTAGGAAACCAGAGCTGGAAAGATAATTGTTTGGTATTGAGTCATGGGATTAATTATGCTTGGCAGTTAAGTAATGTTTTAATCTTGACAGAAACTATCTTTAAATAAAATGGTAGCATTTTAAGAACTCCGAGAGTGTAATAAAGATGTCAAAATTGTCCAGATGCTCATTGTGCAATTGGAAACTCCACTCAAAGTTGAGACAAGGCCCCAGGAAAAAAGGTCAATGATCTAACTCATTCTTGCAACATCTGCCAGAAGCTATTGCTTCTTGAAGTACTAGTGTGTTTTTCTTCTCTTCTTTCATTGCTCTCTCAAATGAAAGTTTATGATCAAATCTGTCATATACTTCTTTCAGTTCTAAAAAAAGGGGAAAGATGGAATTTTTTTAAAGCGTCATGTTTTTATGATGGTATGCACTGGTTTTTTTCTCCCTGCTTGTTCTTTTCATTAATATACATCAGTCTACTAGAAGAGTAACAATTTTAAATATCACTATTAGATATTGCTTTATAATAATTTTCATTTAAAAGTTTTTTCCATTAATGATTAATTTTGTTAGCATTTAGATTCATGGTGTACTCTTTTGACAACATTTTTGGCAACAAAGACTAAATTTTGATATTTGCTTCCAATTAATCAGGACTTTTGGGATGAAGTTTCTCTAGTTCAATTCTTGTCTACTTAAATAGCACATGTTTAACCTTAACTGTATGCACATTCAGGATCATGGAGAAGAGAAAACAAATAAAAGACAAACTCGGTAGTGTTGAAGTTAAACAAGCTTCCTATATGCAACAAGAGAACAGAAACAAATTAAAAGACTATAGCAAAACCACACATTATTGTTGAGTAATAAGAAAGAAGACAAGGAAAAGTGTGGGTTGATTATATTCATAAAGAAAAGTTCCATAGAGAAGATAAATATACTGGTGGTTTCCCAATACATTATTGGGAAAATAAACATCCTAATTCCTAAGAAATTCTATTTCAGTTACTCGGTTTTAACATTCCAAAATTACTGTGGTAATATAGATGATACAGTAGCGTTGAACAGTTCCTTTTCTAAGTACTCTCCATTATGCTAGTTGTTAGTCAATGGAGGTGGTGATATCCTCTCTCAAGAACCATTTAGTATGCTGCTGGATTACATAGAAAGTTGCACAAGGAGAATTAGCCAGAAATTACTCAGTTTTCTAGCAGTTTGCAATATAAAATTGTCTACAAGTAAAGATAGGCTAAAAGTCTAGAAACTTGTACCTATGGGATTTATGTGGTAGGAATGTAATATTTTCTATGTCACCATGAATGTCTTCAAAATGATATTCCTGAGGCTACAAATCAGGAGAGCTGACTCCCACCCAGACTCTGATGATGTATATGGTGATAAAATTGTGGTCAGGATACTGGAGATATTGTGGTTTCAGTTCCAGACCACTGCAATAAAACCAATATCACAATAAAGCAAGTCACATAATTTTTTTTTGTTTTCCTAGTGCATATGAAAATTATTTTTACAATATATTGTAGCCTATTAAGTGTGAAAAGCATTATGTCTAAAGTATACATACCTTAATTAAAAAATACTTTGTTAATGAACATTATCTGAGCCTTCTGCAAATTACAATATTTTTGATATTGGAGAGTCTTGCCTTGATTTTGATGTCTGGTGACTGATCAGGGTGGTTTGTTGCAGAAGGTTGGTATGGCTGTGGCAATTTCTTATAAGACAGCAATGAAGTTTGCCCCATCGATTGACTCTTTCCTTCATGAACGATTTCAATGTGGAGTGCGATGCTGTTGGATAGCATTTTCCTCACAGAATTTTTATCAAAATTGGACTCAGTCCTCTCAAACTCCACTGCTGCCTTATCAACTAAGCATACGTAATATTCTACATCCGTTGTTGTCATTTCAACAATCTTCACAGCAGCCACACCAGGAGTAGATTCCATCTCAAGGAACCACTTTCTTTGCTCATCCATAAGAAGCAACTCCTCACCTTTTAAAGTTCATCATGAGATTGCAGCAAATCAGCCTTATCTACAGACTCCACTTCGAATTCTAGTTCTCTTGCTTTTTTCCACCACTTTTACAGTTAGTTCCTCCACTGAACTCCTGAACCCCTCAAAAGTCATCCATGAGGGTTGGAATCAACTTCTTCCAAACTCCTGTGACTATTGATATTTTGACCTTCTCCCAAGAATCATGAATGTTCTTAATGGCATCTAGAATGGTGACTCTTTTTCAAAACATTTTCGATCTACTTTGCCCATCAGAGGAATCACTACCTATGGCAGCTGTAGCCTTATGAAATATATTTCCTGAATAATAAGACTTGAAAGTTGAAATAACTCCTTGATCCATGAGCTGCAGAATGTTAGCAGGAATGAAAATAACATTAATCTCATTGTACATCTTTATCAGAGCTCTTGGATGACCAGGTTGTCAATGAGCTGTAATGTTTTGAAAGGAATGTTTTTTTTTTCCCTGAGCTGTAGGTCTCAACTGTGGGCTTAAAATATTCAGTAAACCATGTTGTAAACTGATGTGCTATCATCCAGGCTATTTTGTTCCATTTATAGAGCACAGGAAGAAGAGATTCAGCATAATTTAAGGGCCCTAGGATTTTTGGAATGGTAACTGAGAATTGGCTTCAACTTAAAGTCACCAGCTATATTAGCCCTTGACAAGAGAGTCAACTTGTCCATTGAAGCACTCAAGCCAGGCATTGAATTCTCCTTTCTAGCTATGAAAATCCTAGATGGCATCTTCTTCCAGTGTAAGGCTGTTTTGTCTACATTGAAAATTGGTTGTTTAGTGCAGCCACCTTCCTTAGTTATCTTAGCTTGGTCTTCTGGATGACTTGCTGTAGCGTCTACATCGGCACTTACTGCTTTACCTTGTACTCTTATGTTATGGAGATGGCTTCTTTCCGTAAATCTCATCAGCCAACCTCTGCTAGTTTCAAACTTTTTTTTTGCAGCTTCCTCACCTCTCTTAGTCTTCATAGAATTAAAGAGAAGATAGGGCCTTGCTCTGGATTAGACTTTGGCTTAAGGGAATGTTGTGCTTGATTTGATCTTCTATACAGACCACTAAACCATTAATTGGCCTAATTTCAATACGGTTGTGTCTCAAGGAACAGGGAGGCCTGAAGAGAATGGGAGAGATGGGGGAATGGCCGGTTAGTGGAGCAGTCAGAACACATGCACCATTTATGGGTTAAGTTCAATGTCATATGGTGTGGTTCGTGGAGCCCCAGAACAATTACAATAGTAGCAGCAAAGGACACTGATCACAGATCACCATAACAAGCATAATAATAATGAAAAGTCTGAAATATTGTGAGAATTACCAAAATGTGACACAGAGACGTGAAATGAGCAAATGCTGTTGGAAACATGGCGTCCATAAACTTGTTCCACACAAGTTTGCCAGGAACCTTCAATTTATAAAAAACAACAACAATATCTGTGAAACACTATAAAGCAAAGGGCAATAAAACGAGGTATGTGTCTGTACATCGCTTCTCTGGAAGCATCTTCCTTCTCTGTAACATGAAAGAAGAGAACCAGATGATCTCTAAGTCTCCTCTTAACCCTAAAATGTTAATTTTTAGAGAATAAAACCAAACATAATTCAACATTATCAAAGTAAAAAATTTTGTCCATTGGATGAAAAAGATCATGACCTAGTTTCAGTGAAAATTGCAAAATGAATCCAACTCTATACAGGGCTCCACACACAGATCAAGAAGGGCCACCTAGCATCGTGCAGTGCGTGTCTCGCATGACTGTATGTTTTGGCTCTAAAATTAGATCAAAAGTAAAGAAAAGAAGATATGGAAAGTTCCTCTGTACTAAAAATCTTAGTGGTTTAGTTTCCAAGTCATGGTCTTTTTTCAGAACTTGGGTCTTCAAGCATAATAAAAACTTTAAATGCAAAAGCAATAAACTGAGGAAAACAGGAAGGTGGGTAAAAATGAGTGACCAAGGCCGTGAGTGCTATAAAACCAGTAGCTGTTATGGGACATCAATATTTTCTCATGGATTTAAAAGACTGAAAATTTATCATTGGATAAATGTGACTTTTAGGTGCTTAATAAATATAATCTACATAAAAGTTTAACTTCAAGTATGCCAAAGTGTAAATAAAGAATCTGCCCTATGCTAATAGATTTAGTTATCTATAGCTCTCTCATATAATTTACACAACTATATGGCCATGAATGAATCAGGTATTAGGATCTATATCTCATAGCTCAAAGCAACGCATTTAAACCTGAATGGACTACGTATTTATCTTTACATGCAATCCACTATTGCATGCTTTAGGAAATCAGGTGAAAGTCTATAAAAGAATGATTAGCATCCAATTCCCAAAACTAAAAGAAAAAAATAAAAAGCGAAAAATAAAAAGAAAACAGCTTCAGGTGTATACCCATGTGATGATAGCGGACCAGGAAAAAAGCTCTGTATTCAGGAAATTTTTATTATTCTACCTGCTATATGGAATAAACAATATAAAATGATAGAAGTGCCCCCACCACAAACACCATACCAAAAAAAAAATGTAGGAGTAAAACATTTGTGCCCTGTTTTCTTGTAATTATTACTTCAAAAACTACAGTAAATCCTGGCCACGTCTTTATCCTGCTGCTTGTCACTCGACGGCATAATGCACCAAAGTTATTTTATCTTGAGTGGCAACAGCGCAGCATGTTGGGCTTGCTGCTTCAGAATCCTGCTCTTCACTACTTGATTAGGGTGAATAATGCCTGATGTAGAAAAATACAGAAGAGGACAAATTTCATGGATTCTCTTCACTGCGAACCTATAGAGGACAGGGAGACTGATTGTTAAAAAGGCAGCCCACAATTTAAGATTCTGTTTTCTAAGGCTGATTTTTTTGTTCACATTTACTATATTAAAGAAATACTTTAAATTGCTCCAATTATAGTCTTTTGCACAAAGTCAGTGGGACTGGGATTCAAACTATCAGGAAAAATCATATCGTACATGGAAGGACAGAGAAAAGAATTCATCCAGAAACAATACATAAGAATTTTTTTAAAAGAGAGCAAAATGCACAAATTTCCAGGAGAAGAAGGGGTGCAAAGAGGGGGAAAGGTGGCAAGAATGAAAATGAACTAAAGGCAGGGAAGGATGCTGAAAATAGGATAATACAAGAAAAGCTCAAGATTGAGGGAGGAAGAGAGTTTATACAAGAGTGAAGCCAGAAAAAAAGTGAGGGAAGTGCAGAGGAGGAACAGCAGGACAGGTTGGGGGAAAGGCAGTCAAGGCTTCAGGGCAAAAAAAGCACAAAGAAGGCTGCAGGACAGCGGACAGACAAGTGGGGTACACGGGGGGGGGGCAGTGTCTAGATGACAAGAGGGGAAAAGCAGGTGAGCAGGAGGGAGGTGGCAGAGCAAGGAGCCCTGGAGCCCAGCAATTTTGTTTTGTTTACTTACAAGTGAAGACTGTGCCCCTTGAGTGCAGCTTGCACATGGGTGTGAATTATTTTACTGGCATCGTTCCAAGTCCTGCTGTAACAGTATTAGGGATTTGGCGTTGTGGTGTGAGCTTTCGCTAAGGCTACCAACTTCCCTTTATGTTCATCCAAAGCAGCCCAAAGGCCATCCATCTGCGTGTGCGAGCTCTATTCAAATGGTGTAAATTGGCAATTGGTAGGCTTGGAAAATTCTGGACATCAAAGAAAGAAAGGAAGAAAAAGAATCTGTTTTTATTAAAAAATAATCCTATGCTCATTTGTTCTCAGTCTCATTACTGTAGTGTATAGGTTTTCTTTTTCAAACCAAGTTGACTTAAATGGAGGCAGTTTTATGAAAATGCCAGTAATTCTTGAAACATGTAAATACAAATTGCCACGATGAGAACCAAATTGCTAAAATAAAACAAACCATCAAATCACCATTAAAAAGGCCCTCTACCTAGGTAGTGAGTTTTAAAAACTGTTTTTGGTGAAGGAACAGTCTGTTTAAAGTTGTTATTAAAGGATACTAAAATACCAGATCAAAAGAAATCAGAAGTAGTTTTTTTAGCTTTGAGCTGGGACTTGAAATATGGATGTATTTTCTGTTTTTCTGTCTTGTTGTTTTGCTTTTTAATTGCCTCTGAGCCAACTATCCACGGAGTGAAGTTTTATATCTTCAAGTTCAACTCTGTTTAGGTGTTCATTTTTGTTTCTCCATGGGAACCAACATGTTGCCATAGAAACTGAGTAGCACAAAATATAGATATACAGAAAACTTTATAGGAAGAGTCAAGCTCACAACACAAAGTTAACTACTTAATGCAAGTACTGGCTGGGCTTTCTAACACTGAACTTATTATGACGTCTCAAAAAAGAGCAACTTGATCCTATGGCTTATCAAATTTTGGAACAATAGAACAAAAGGAAACTATACTCTTTTCTCATTAGGAAAAGCGTAAAGGTTTATTTTTCATTAAAAAATAGAAACCACTATCCAGATTAATTGTGGTGATTGTTTGCATTGAATGGAAAGAGATGGCTTCGGGATTTTTTTATGTGATGAGTGCTTCTGATATTGTCCCATCCCACACCACACCTACTGTGAGGTGTGCTGGGCTTCAGGTCAAGGAAGGGAAGTAAGCAGAAAAAAGGGGGCTGGCACCAAGGTGGATGAGTGACCAGCAGTTCCAGTCACAATTTCTGAGGGAATGGGGACTGGGCTCCTGGGCTTCTGAGTGATTTATAAGGGGCTGGAATCTGGTGAGAGGGGGTATGGCAACAGGAACTCCTGGCAGCGCTAGTGTTTTAGGTCCAGTTAAGGGGAGGAAAGAACTAATTCAGTTGGAAGCAGAGCTCCAGCCAGTGTCTAGGTACAGGGTGTGAGGTGCCAGGCCAGATTTGAATCTGGCCGTGATCTGGCCGTGAAACCAGCAGTGGTTTAGCTCAGGACACCAGCTCCAGCCTTGGGAGTAACAGGCATCCAACCAGGAGGACTAGGCAACAGAATTGTTGGGTGGGAGCGTGGCTGCAGTTTGCTGGGTGCATGAATGCATGGGACACTCCATAGGCACTCTGGATTCTGGGGCCCGGAACATGTGGCGAATTCCAGGCTCCATTTCATGACTGGATATTGCCTGGTTGCATTAGGATTGACTCAGAGAGGGGGTGGGGCAGAGACTGAAGCAGTAAGGTTTCAGGCAACTGGGTGATGCTGAAACGGGTAGCGACTGAAAACAAACAAGAGACTCAATGTGCCAAAGATCCAACCCACAGTAAGAAATCTGCACTTATTGTCTCATGTTAGTACAATTGTATAAAGAAAGAAGCATTTGCAGTTCATGGGCAAAACAAGGATGCTCACACAGGCCCACCTTCAGTTTTGACGTTTTCAGCAGGGTGCTAGCCTAATAATTTTTGTATTATCTTTAAAGTAAAGAAAAATGTATGATGTGATACCAACCCCTTCAATAAAAGGAATAGAATAAACTTCAGTAAAAAAGTCAGCATTGTAAAGACATGTATCTGGATGCCATCTCCTTACCTTGTGCTTTTCCGAGTCCTGAAGTGGCTGTTTGACAGAAGGTCAAAGCTGCTGTGGGAAAACAGTTTGAGCCGTACTGTGGTTCATGAAGTCTGAGAGCAATGTACCCGTGACTCGTCAGCTTTCTGAAATAACGTGGGCATGCTGTGCATGTCGCATTGCACTTGGGGGTTACGGTTCATTTAATTTTATGGAGTAAAACAGGCCTCTACATAAAGTAGCATTTTTCACCTGTAAGTTAGAAGCCAATAAAACAAAACCAATTTTGAGGTAAAAACCCAGCATCTCCCATAACTTACATGTAAATTCCCCATGCTATAGGTATAGAAATGTTCTTACTAATATAAAACAAAAGACATGAAAAGAAGTAGACAATTGTTATTTTAAAAGGAAGTGGACATCCAAAAGAGGAAGACATGAGGTTAAAGAAAACACTGGAATTAAAAAAAAAATAATGCTGACAAAGTTAAGAAAGAAAGAAAATAAGCTGATAAAGATTTAAAAATATTTTAAGCTGTAAAAGTGAATGCGACGTGTGTTGTGCCTTTTATGATTTGCAAGCTGAAATAAAAGCTAAAGCAGCATGCCAGATCTTCGCCATGTGGCCCTGTTCACAGTAGCCAGATAACTTAGTTCCCCTTTCTGTTTATAGTTATTTCCCTCCTCAGTGGTGGATAGGTATCTAGCTATGTGAAAAAACATAGTTTAGTTATTTCATACCTAGTACACATACAGTGCAAAAATGTATCTGACAAAATGCTGTTTAATCCCTTCACTTTACTTACCTGTGAGTAAAACAAGTTTGTTACAGGCACTGTACAGGTACTGATCTGAGCTCTTTGAGTACAAAAATGAACACAGCTTAGCAAATAAGAGGGATAGTTCAGTAATTACAGTGCGGTAAGTTAGGAGCACGTAGGAAGTGCTGTCGAAGATAAAGGCAGACACTAGTTGAAATGGTGAAGGTAGATTTTAATCAGTAGTAACTATTGCAATAGGGAAGAGAGTCCAGTGTGAACTGAACTCAACTTTGATTAGTACAAAGGTGACTGGGTATTTTAAAGGGAGAATGAGAGAGTAGGGAAGGGAGCCAGTGAGGGTTTAATACATTTTTCCAAGGAAATAATAATAATAAAAAATACAAAAAGCAGGAAGAGGGGATTTGGTCCATGTGAAATCCATCTGGGTTTGCTATCTGATGCTTATCAGTTAGGCTCCTGCCCTCCCAAGGAGACTCGGAGACAAGGGTCTTATCTTCAGGTGTTGGCTGGAATAAACAATGAATTCTTTGAGCAGCCTTGAGTTTTCTCAGGCTGGTACTTTAAGGGGGGTAGGGTCATCCTAGGGATGCAGCCACGAGCTGTTAGAAACTGTGGGAAAGTTCACTGAAGCCTTCAGAGGCCGAGGTTGAAGCCTGGTCAAGAAGAGTAGTCAAAGGGAGCTGACTAGAGTGTGGTCAAAGAGGAATCTTCGTCAGTGCTAAGAAGTGGACCTGGAAGGTCCCTCAAGACTCCACACCTGAAACCTCTTGAGGAAGGCTTAAAAATTTTCCTAGCAGACACAATAGGGAAATTGTTGGGGCCAAGTATAGTCAGGGCATGCAACTTGTGGGGTGGCAGGAAGTGAGAGGGACTCAGGAGTAGAATCATAGCAGGCTATGGAGATTGGATTTTGTCCCTTAGTCTAGTGCTTCCCAACGTGTGGGACTCATGTACAGGTAACGTTTTGATGGTACAAGGATGCAGCTTTAAATCATATTGAAGTCATACAAGGAAAAATAAGTTTCGCAATTATCTTTTAATCCCTCTAGTTAATTTAAGGAGAAAAAAAATTAATCTTAGGTCGATACCAATCTGCGTCTTAAATGGTGTTTGCTAATCAACCTTTTTAACAGTGGGAGTGGATGTCTGCTAAAATGTAATGATATTTTTTATTTTCATTGAATTTTTAAAAATATTTCTTTTATAGTAACTGATAGTGTTTTCCCATTTTAATTAATAACATGATTACCTTTTAAACACATTTAAGTTTTAAAAATGCTGAGTCTATTTAAAGACAGATGTTAAGTACAGTAGCAGAAAGAAGAGTCAAGATGACCCCCTGGCTTTGGGGTTCCTCAGAGAGGGGAGTGGTCGTGTCATTAAATGAGCTAGGAGTTACAGGAAAATAACCAGAGCAAAGAAAAGGAAAATAAAAGCCAAGGGTAGGAAATGTCTACTGTTACCGGGTGTCCTACAGAGTTTATTTAGACCTCTTGTCTTCTAAGATCACACTACTTTAAGGTCAGACCCAACACACCTTCACCATCTCTACTATACAGCCAAAAAAAGCAAGCCCTAAAAACAACCCTGTTTGCAAAACCTGGTGTCTCACTGCTTTGCTTCACCTACCATGTGCTCAGGTTACTTTTTGTTCTGCCAGGCGTTGACTCTAGGTTATGTCTTTGTTTCCTCGTGTACTTTGGCCTTGGCCTTAAACTTCAGGAGTTTCTTAGGTCTTTATTTCACTGCTGTCACTCCAGGCACTTCTGGAAAACTATATCCATTCAAGTTTTGGACCCTCGTGTCTCAGATCCTGGCACCAGCACCCCTCCAGTAGAAGATTGTCTGGCAAATGTACCCTCTCTCTCACAGGGTGATTCCTCCCTCTTGCACAGGCATTTTGGGGATTTGCCATATATGGCTTTTACTATATCATGCCTTAAGGTATCCAAGATCAGGAGTGCCAAAGCTTTCTTCATCTTTGGATATCAGCCAACCATTTTCCTTTTCTGGTGTAGTTTAAAACAAAATCTCTATTTTTGGGCAAGACCTCAAACCTTTGTTTCTGCCTTTTGAATTAGATTTTTTTTTTCCTTTTGAGTTTCTTTTTAAGGCATGCATCTGAAGCTATTCTGTCTTCTGAGATGCTGTGCTCTATCATATCAAAAAATATATGCTGTGGGGCCGGCCGAGTGGCGCGATGGTTAAGAACTCGCTTGGGATGCCAGAGGGCCCCGGTTCGGATCCCACATATGAGGGCCAGTTACACTGCCCTCTACAGCTAAGATGCTGAACAACAGTTCAACCTGGAGCTGGGCTGCCGTGAGTCGCTGGCGACGGCGTAGGCTGCAGCCCCTGTGGCAGTGGGTTGCCATGGGCTACCGTATGTAGCCAGCAGCCAGCGTGAGCGGCCAGCAGCCGCAGTGAGCGGCCGTCCAGAAGCCGGCGACTGATCTGCCTCGCCAGGGAAGAGCGCAATGATGGTGCCAACTTGGGCCAGTGAAGCAGCGTCCTCCACAACTAGAGATTGGAAAACAAAACGACAGCAACTTGTCTGTTCCCCTTCCCCCAATTCCCCATCATTGTTCCCATCCCCCCAATTACCCAATAAAAATCTTAAAAAAAAAATATATGCTGTGTACTTGGTCCCATCTCCTTGAAGATGGCTTTTCCCTGCTAAATGCCTGTGTTGAGGTCAGTCTGCCTTTTGATATCAAATGGAGTCTTAGAATAGCTAAATCTTTAAGTAAAAAATTAGCACAGTCATATTTTCAATTCATCATCGATTATTTGTAATCAAATGAAGTATTTCATGGTTTCTCATTTTCAACATTTTGGGAAAATTTGTTAACATTTGGGGGTATAGTAATAGATGCTCTTTTAAAAATAAGTTTTAAAATTTCATAAACTTATTGGTATAATTAAATTCAAGAATAGGTGCTCCTTTCTGCTGCTGGCAGATTTATTTTTCAGGTAAGGGCTTACTTTTACTGAAATGTCGACATAGGTACCCAAGAATGAAAAGCCTGAAAATGGATTAGAGTTGTAAAAATACAAATATGTACTTCCTATAACATATTTAAGGCAGTGTTTTAGTGTTAATTTTAACACTTCCAGTTTTTATAAAAGATGAGTCATTTCCTCTGTCTGGGGTATGACTGTGAGTGGGAAAAGTCTGGATAAATATGTTAAGGTCACAGATTTGTTAGAGTACAGGAACCAAGTTCAGTTTCGAATTTCATCTTGACTTTAAAATAAGGTGATGGTGTGTTGTTAAGATAAATTAATCAAGGAATAACTGCTTTAGTAGGTAAAAATTTAACTATTTCCTGTTACTATCTATGGCAGGTGATATCCCAAGCCTTAGGCTTCTGAAATTCTCTTCTGTGGGTCTGTAATGAGCCTAAATTCTTACTAAGGCACATCCTCCTTGCTTAATTTTTGGTCAGTTGCACATACAGGGATAAGAATTCAGGTTGAAGAGTAGTGTTGTCGATATAAAAAGAGATGTTAAAGAAAACTTATACCTCTAGTCCAACCTGCACTTCAGCATTTTAGCAGAATAAATGTGGACTTCACCTACCCTACTTAATAGTGGTTGTAACCTTGAGAAAGTTACCCAGTCTCTTTCAGCCTAAGGATTCTCATTTGAACAAAGAGGGGTTATAATATCTCCTTTACTTATTTGTTGTGAAGGCTCAACTGAAAAGCTATTGAATGTGGTAATATTTGTAAAATACCTCAGATAACATATATCACCTAGCATATAGTTTGTTTTTTACAAGTGTTCCATCTCATCACCCTTTCCTTCATTGGAAGAGAAAGGAAAAGTTTTTCTTCTCAATGTCATTCATTTCTTCATACAGTATAATGTGTTAAAATCCATGAAGATGAGTGAATAGTGATGATAAGTAATGACAGAAAATGGCAAATACCAAGTGGATTATGATCTGGGTAAAATATCAGACCCCATGAGACAACATTATCTTCCACATTTATATTCATTACACAGATGATGAGATAGAGCAATTTCTATTTATTTAGTAGATGGAGAACACAACTTATTTGGAAAGCTCTAGATAAGTTCATAGATGAGGTAACTTTTTGCAGATATGGTGTTGGACACACCAGGGTTTCAGGAATCATGTGTGTATGATGTACAGATAAGGTTGTTTGTGTACAAAGGACTAGAGGAGGCCAGAATGAAGGGATGAGAATAGGAACAAAGCAGAGGCAACAGGAGATGGAAGACGGCTGTTCTATCGATAATGTTACTTTCCTCATGACCCCTGAAGTTACTAGACTCACGGAATGCTTGTTGTGAGTGGGTTTTTACAGATCCTTGAAAAGTGATGTGGAGATCCATGCCAGGCCATCAGGT